TATATTTCAAGTCGAAATAGAGCTGAACGCATTGCAAAAGAATTCCCCAAATTATAGATAATACTCCCTCAAGCATATCATATTTCGGTCTCAAAACCCTGCCAATTTCTATTCAGCTAAACCCAAAGGGATTTTGCGTCTGCCTTTCGCATACCAGATAAGATTTATGGTTGGGGGTTATTTTCCAATTTTCTAGCGGTAATAAAATATGTTAATCAGCCCGTTGCGTGTGGAGGCCATTTACCGCCCAGAACTTGATTAGCTGATGGTGTTAAACGACTTCATAAGCATTCGCTAGCCGAACGAAAAATGATAAAGAGTCAAAATCAACCATCTGCTTAATGCCCTAAATCTCAATTACTGCAGGAAAAATTCCAATATGCAAGACCCGACCGGATTCAATTTCAAGCAGCAAATCGGCACCAAAACCGCTTGACGACATTACCAGACTTAATTTTAATTAAATTACCTTGCGACTTGAAAATTAAAAGGTTTCCCAAATTGACTTTGTGCCGTTCGGCAAATGAAAAGTATCTCTAATCTTCGGATACTTCGGCGCCGGATTGAAATTAAGAGCGAAGCCAAATTGAGGAGAATAATCCGATAATGAGACTCAAATCTGTTCAGATTAAAAAAATCACGAGCCAGACTAAAAAACATTTAGCGAAAAAAGGAAAATGGCTTAATTAAATGACTCAAATGGCTCAATAGGTATAAAAAAATTTTCCACTGAAAGACGGTAGGTAGATGTTTTCAATCAGTATTCAACCGGCTTTCAGCAGTTTTTATTTAATTACGTACTATTAGACAGAGTGATTCAGAGCTATGAGGCCAACCTTCGAGAGCTTGTTCAGTTGTTAGTTGAATCTTCATTATTCAAATATGAAAATTATCTTCTAATAATATTTAGTTGTTTTGTTGAAACTGCAAAAAAGCATTTGCGAATTAGAACTTAAGTTGCACGAACATTTGAAGTTGAAGCAGGGGAGTTGCAGAGCTGAAAAAATTCTGAAACCAGTGGGAACTGGAAGATTTTCGTCTATGTTGATCTGAGAGTTTGGAGGGATTTTCTTAAATTAGCGCACGTTTTTGGGAGGCATTCGCTACATCCTCTACATCCACTCCCCAAAACATGACCATTTTTTCGAAACCAATTGAATTTGCAGCCTTAAAGCAAACTATTATTTTCCAGATAGAATCTTGCACACAGCAAACTTTAACATTTGAAATTATCAAATATACTTGACAGGAATCTAATATTCCAAGTAGGCAAGTGTGAAGCGTTGATTTCAACGTGGAATATCTTTCCTAACTACTTACCTAAATCCTAAACATATTTTGTTGAAATGTATATTTTCGAGCACCCACGCAAAAAAAGGGATTTCAGTTCAAGATCCTACTTTGTACAACTCACAAATCCAGTAATATTAAGGCTTACATAAGTTCCATCAGGATGCGACAACTCATAGTGCTCTCGTAACGAGAACATTTAATGATTCCGATCTATCAACCGTCAAACATAGTCGTATTCGAAAAAGTTCCTGATATCCGAGTTTTCACGGGGGTGCCACTCTTGATTTTGAAGCTGTTTAAGTCCGTTGTCGGCTTTCTTACTACCGTTTTCCGAAAATAGTCCCGAACAACTTAATGAAAAACCTGAACGGCAGCTTTCGCGTACACCAACTTTTCTCGCTTTACGACTTGAAGTTACCGATTGATTCACACCTAAATCCTTTTATAGAGATAGAAAAGTATAATCTTTTACTCGACAAGCTCTAAAAATACTCACTTTGCCGTTTCGAAGTTTCCAACACAGGCAAGGGAAATATCGATGTTTCTGTTCCACTTTTCAACCTTATAACTTTAATATACTAAACTGATTTATATTTTAATTTAATATTAATATTTTAACCATTGTAAATTTAATAGCGTATATTATTGCTTAGAGCAGGGGAAGCCTTTTACTGATAGTGAAACACGATTTTCCGAAAAGCATTTCGCGATTTGATTGAAAAACGTCGAAAATTCACGTCCCTTTATGTTCTGAAGTATAAAATCCAGATTTCCTTCTTCTGAAGATCAATAAAGGCTGTAAAGAAGTTGGTGAGTCTAATTGGGAAAAGATCCCAACGAACTTTTAATGTTAAAGCTGTACGATTTTAGTTAATTACTGTGGTAATTTGAGGTTTTTTACCAGCTACGAATCTCTTGCTTTTGCGCTAATCTAAAGGATAAATAAGCAAATCCTTGGAAATGCTTTAAAGATTAGTTTCAGTAAAAATACCGACTCTTAGCTAAAAAAAAATCGAACAATATTTATTATCAGAGTCAATCCTGGTGAGTTCAAAAATTCAAAATAGGTTTGTAGTAAGAATTTTTACTAGGTACAGGGTAGGAATTTGACATTTTTCTTAGTCAGTTATTCTGATTATTGTTTGTCATCTCATAAGTTTCACTAACATCATCTGTACTTTCGCTAAACTGATTCCCTTCTTCAAAATTATCCACATTTTCATGGTCTGCAAACTGTTGTTCTTGTATTGTCTTCAAAATCATTTTGTTCATTCACACCTGCTCGACTAACTTGAAACGTTTTTTTCTTCGCGATTTCTCCAATATATCGCGAACTTTGCATACACGTTTGGAGCAATTTTTGCTTCCAACTTCCGTACATTTGTTAGCATTAAAAAGATTTATCAATAATCGTTATTGAATTAGTAGGTCGTTAGGTAGTCTTAAATACACGAAACAGAACACCGAAATTTGGGCGAAAATTTGGGCACTTTTTGTGAAAATCGCACTACCGATAGGAAAAAATACACAAAAAGGAGAAGAGAATATTATCTCCAAATTTCCAGGAATTGTTGAACCAAAAAAACATATTTCAAGTCGAATTCCATAAATTTCACTGTTACTGAACCATTAAATTCAACCTAATGGCCCCCTTAAATAAGCTTCCTAATGAAAGTTCCCTCGACTAATTTTTTACCTCTTTGAAAACTGCAAGTTCACAAACTTTAACTATAAACCAAAGCTTTTACTAGGCAAAAAGTGCAGTAATTTCGAAAAGCAAAATTAGCGCTTTTTGCTTTATAATTGATGTTTGAAACTGTTTAAAAAGGTAATTAAAGTTACTGAGCAGTGATATGCGCCCAGGTGAGAAATAGGTAGAAACTTTTAAAATCCTATTTTCCATATCAATGCTGGATAGGATTTTAGAAGCGTAGGAAACAGCTAAAAACACCCACATAATAATTTCTTCAATCCGCTATCTAATGTGCTTGGCAGGCAACTTTTGCCGGCGTAATTTTATTATAGAAATCCCAGTCTACATTTTGCCTGTTCAGTTTTAACCCAAAATGAACTTTGGAAACTCCGGATGCGATTTCCCTCTTCCATTCTGGTGTCTATTAAATCTAATGATAACTTTAAACGGGAATGTGATTCAATTATAAGTTTTGTCGTTGCCAACCATTCAGCCGATGATTGTTTTTCTTTTTCGGAGTTTTTGATGCTCGAGCGCTCCTGAATGGAACTTTAAAATATGAGATTAATTTTCCTACTGGAGCTTAAATTCTTTGTATTGCCGGTAACTTGCGAAATACAACAATAGCACAAAAAACCGTCCGCATTAAATGTATTCGTATCTTTAAAAAACCCAACCAGTTTCAAATGCATTTTTTCTTCAAAGTGAAATTGTCGAAGTTGCGACAGTGTAACTTAACTAAGTTAGCAGCAGTTTCAGCTAAGAAGAACAAAGGTATAAAATTGCAAAAACCGAAAACTACTTAAAGCCGCTTTTTATGGATCAGATGGTAAAGTCTGGAAACGGTGAAAATTGATTTCGAAGTTCCGATAGAGTTCTATCGGCTTTAAAGGATTACGGTGCTTTAAAACTTCCAGCTTAAAGAGCGTGAAATTTCCTCATGAAAAGGGCTAATTATGCACTTTATCCATCGCCAGTATGTACCTTTAAATTTTTAACGGTTTTTGTATGATTGTTGGTAAATTTCATTTTAAATCAGTATGATATAACTATTTCAGATTGAGAGCTGAACTTTTATACACATTTTACCAATATTTATGGCTACTTTATGAGCGTTAAACTATTTTTTTTGTTCGTACTGTAGAGTCTGGAGGAAAACAACAGTTGCTAATAAAGAGCCTATAAATCGGTATTAGAAAATGTAAATTTTTCTGTTCGTTCAAATCGCTTAATTTGCAAACAATTGACAAAATTTCTTAGAAACGGATTGCTGCCTATCAAAAATCCCATTTACCTCTAATACTACCAAAATTAAGGATTCTAACTAGGAATACCGTTTCTGTGTGTATGTGTGTGTATAGGAAACACTAGCGTTTAAAATGTGCTTACAAATCGCCATTTCCTCTAGTGACTTAAAAGTTAAAGAAAAATGATCCAACAATTTAAAAAAAACTCAAAAAAATATGATACTCTGTACCGCAATCACGGTTTGATTAATCTAATCTATTTCAGTATTTTTGCCTGTTTCTTCTTCAAAAATTTGTTTTTTGGCCCTTGAGCTTAGTTGAGCATGTTCAAACTTCAGTACAAAAGTAATATTCAACGCAAACACGGTCCCTATTAAAAGCACTTTAACAAATTACCTCTAAAGAGATCCAATCCAGGAATATCGACTGGAAAACATACGCACTTTCAGACCCTCCTGCCTGAGATTTTGTAGGACTCCCGCAACTTTCCCGGAGATGTGCAATAAATTAATCGACTTCCAACTAGGCTCCTTGATAAATTAAGTCTTCCTTAATAACGGGAAACTGCAATTTAACATCCTTCCAGGAAACCTTCGCCGTACGACGTGTTTAAGCCAGCCGATAAATGTTTTATTTCCCGTCCGCAAGAGCCACTTATCCCTATTTTAGAAGTAAAAAATTACCTTAATCGGATGGCCATCCTTCCCAAATCGACAAAGAATAGGTATAGCGAATTTTATTGAAATTTGCAATAGGAAGAAAGGATATAGGTAAAAGTGACTTTTAATAATGGATCACGGTATTAATTCACTTAGAGACAGAAAATAAACTATTTTGTAACAAAATGTGAACTAATATGAAAGCAGAACAATGTACGGTTTTAAAACAGGATATAATGAAAATACAGTATGAAACTCTAGTTTTCCACCCATTCAAATGGCTCTGGGGGCTCTGGTTCTTTTTCATCTTCGCCTTTTGGTCCAAACGCTGAAAACAAGATAAATTTCACCCTAATGCCAACAACCTTAATAGGTTTATCAAAAAAACAGAGACAAAACATTCTAAACTAGATAAGCTTCTTTTCAATTCGCTATTTCTTTTATGGAAAACACCGTAACAAAAAGACGAAAATGCACATGATAAATCGTCAAAACTGGCAATAATAAATTGGATAATCGAAGCCTTACCTTGAACTGGTTCAACCAATTCCTCTTGACCAGGCTTCAGATTTCGCACCATAATAATTCCACCAATCGACACATCTTTAAGGGGTACGTATTGGCTGCCTTCATTCAAATTGATCACTTTGAGTTGCTGGCGCATGATGCGCGCGGGATTTTGCAATATTTCGAAACTCGGCTCAGGTTCCTTTTTCTTTTCCTCTTTCTCGTCCTTTTTATCTTTCTCTTTTTTGTCGTCGGTTGCTGTTGAAGTGCTGGGGGCCTTTTTGTCTTCAGTCTTCTTTTCCTCGGCTGCTTTTTTGTCGTCTTTTTCCTCATCGACCTCCATCTTCTCATCCTTGTGCTTGCGCTCGTACTCCCGTTTCCGTTGCCGCGCTGCAATACTGAGAATAGCCGTTTGTACTTTCTCGCGTTCTTCACGCTTCTTCTCCTCCATGGGTGCAGGGTAGGCGTACAGGCTGGGTTTTGCATTCGATTTCAACTCCAACTTAGGCATCTACATTACGAAATGTATTTTAATTTTAACGCCATAAAATCCCAGCGCTTTAATTAACTCACCTTCAACTGCTCGTTCAACCCGATTAAGGCGGTCGGCGTAAAGGCCAAAGCCAAGCAGTGAGACAGTGGGAACCAGTACCAATACTGCGTGAAGACCAACGTACCAACAACTGCTAACATGTTCGTATGACCAGTCCTGGATTGCAAGGACAGAGTCACATTTCTTCCGCCGGCATCGATAATGCCCTGTGCTAAGATCGCGCCGAACTTAGCCATAACATCCTCATGTTTGTTCGCTATAACCTGAGCATATGTTTGACGGAAGAATGTGACTTTAGGGCAAGTTTGCTCGGTCTGTTGGATCAAGATCATTGCCGAAGCGATTAGAGCACCTTGACGAACAAAGTTAACGGGATCGAACATAACCATCGGCTCTAAGAGGGCAATGGCCTCGCGCAAGCCTGTACCGGCACAAGCGATTCCCAAAGCCATCGCAGCCCCGTAACGCACATGGGGATTATAGGATTCGGCCAAAAGGGAAACGACGCTGGGACATTGTTCGGGCGTTCTAAAATTAATACACCAATAATCAGTTAATGGGGGATCGTGGAAATCAAAGTAACTCACCTGAACAAAAGAAAACCTAAAGCTGTAACTGCCGCCCGTCGCACGTCGTCATTGACATCAGAAACCTTAAATAAAAAAGTCCCATTTCAGAACACCCACAAAGAGCTTTCAGCAATAAAACTTACAGCAACATGAAGCAGCTTCCGAATGGCCTGGTTGTGGCCTGTTCCACAATACGCCATAGCAATCGTGTACATTCCAGAACGACGTAAAATTGGGTCTTTATCGTCAGTCAAGTGTTTAATCAGCGGCTCAGCCTCCTCAAGACGACCGTACATGTTGAACGAGATGCCGACTGCAAGACCGCGAAGAATTTTCTCGTGTTGACTCTCTTGCGCATACTACAAGTGAAAATACTTAGTACCGGTATTAATTGGCAATTGCGACTACTTACAGCAACCATATCTTCGATGGCTGGTGTATTTCTGGCGCCCAACATCACCATGCCCATTGCAATGCCAGCAGCTTCGCCGGTATTCGCATCATCTTGATATAAATTGAACTTGAGCTGTTCATAGACGTCTTGCCTATGCGTTCCCATAGCCGCTAGACCCAAGCCCAGACAACCTCCATGTCTAACCATCTGAAACAAACCACATTCTCAAGACTTCATTGCTTTAAGAACCACTGGGCGTGTTTTACCTCATTTTGGGCATCTTTCAACTGCCCCAGTAGGTAGTCAATGATATTGGCTCCATGATTCGCGTGGATGAGCCCTAACGCATAAAGACCGCCACCCTCTGAATACCCTGAACTAGGACCGACTTCCTTGGGCAAATAGCTCTGCATGAGGACGAGGGCTTCATTTTCATGTCCCCGATGAATTACACCTAAGGAGGCTGTTGCCGTTAGCTTGGCCCAATTTGTGGCTCTTCCCAGCCATTCCAGATTATCCCTAAGTATATTTCGATGAGCATCAAATAAAAATGAACGCGGGATAGAACTGACCTGAGAAACTGGTCACTGGTAGTTCCGCTGTGCATAAAAGCATTGGCGATCACAGTTGCCGTATGGCAGATACTAACTCGCACAGTCTCTTTTGTTTGTTTGAGAATTAGCAAATCTGCATGATTTGAACGAATCAAAAACTGCAAATGCAATTCTATTGAAACCTCCCCTGACAGAATGGTGTGCAATTTTTTCAGTCTGTCGTGATGTTCTCGGTCTTTTGGACTCTGCAAATAAGAAAAGTTCATTGAACATTCGTCTAACAGCCACATATTTATTTCCACTCACCAAACTATCCAGTGTGGGTAGCTCCACTTTCGGTTTTGGCTCAGCAGCCGACTCATCAGACGCTTCCTCATCAACGCTTGCCGCATCATCCAGTTTAACTAGCGGCTTAGTTTCCAGCAAGCCGGGGATGGGAGCAGTTTCTCTTAAAGCGACCAAAACCCTCTCGAGAAACTGTTGCGTTGCAGATTCATAAAGATCAAAGGCGATTTGATAGGCCATCAACTGGTTTTCTTCGGTGCTTTGCACCAGTTTACCGAGAATTACGGCGACATAATCTGGATCCTCGAGGAAAATAAGGCACTGGCACATATTCACGTAGTCAGGAGTTGCCAAGCTGCGATATAGACCGACTAGAGAACGCAGTACTATATTTCGAAAGGCTCGATTTTGAATCAGGCTCATTGCTACCTGTAAGAAATAATAACAATGGAATGCCGATGTTGTAAATGTAATATTAAAAATGCCTAAAAAAATACGGAACATAGTTATTTACTTGGAATGCGTATCCCAGCATGCTGATTACATCGTCTGACTGTGTGATGGCCGATTGAAAAATATCCATTCTTCTTGTCTCCAAAGCCAGCCCCATAGCTTGACGGTATTGACCATCATCTAAACATCTCTGAAACATTCTATTAACGATGGCTTCCAGTCGGGGATCGATGGGCTTTGTGTCGGGTACACGATCTGCCAACGCAATTCTCTGTAGCGTGTAGTAATCAATGCATTTGGCTAAAAATTCAATTCATTAATCCACTGCTACTGAACCAGAGAAAGAACGAGCTTACACAAGGTGGTTTCCACATATTCAGTGCGGGCATTCACGTCGAAAAGCTCACCAGCACCTAGAGCGTAAGTAAGGGAGTCTTCGAATGACCCCAAGTGATAGTAAACTTTGCTGGCTACAAGGGCGGCCAACTGGTGCTGTTGGAAGACTTTGTCTTCATGCAAGATTTCTCTAAAATACCGCAAATGTTTAATGCTAGTCAGGCTTATTCGTTACTGGGCACCTACATCTTTTCAATTGCTTCGGAAATTTCAGGCCAGAATTCATCGACAATCGTATTCAGCTTGTTCAAGGCGAATATTTTCAGCTCAGGTCGAGGCTCCTCTAAGAGGGAGATGACCCCGGCTGAAACACAACAAACATCTCTATATTTTGTTTAAACGCGCTTTCAAGTAACTGCATGATAGAAGGGTGGCCATGTAGAGCTTGGTTGATACAATTTGTACCGGTTTCAAGAAAAATCAATGAGTTTAGCAATAAAAACAAATATATTTTCTTGCAAGTCACATACATTGGCTAACCGTTTCTGGGCGAAATGGAACATATTAGCGATTTGAATGTATCAGAAAACTTACCAGCAGACGTGATATTCATGTTTCTCAAATTAATCCCTACAATTGCTCAAGAGAAAACGATTCGTAAAGTAATTTGCTATTTTCAAGTTTAATGATGACTGACTAATTTGCTTAGAGCTTTGACGTTAGCAGTCAAAGTCAAACCATGGCAATTGACGTAAAAATGAGTGCGTTTAATAATAATTTGCAATAAAACTGAAGTGGTTAAGTTTTATTGTGCCAAAGTGCATGAAAAAACAGGCCAATTTTATCGAAATAGGTCTATTGCCAAAAAAAAGTTCCAGAGGTGTTTTGTGGTGGGGACACGTGTTATACTCCATGTCCATGTACGGTTATTACCGTGCGATTGGCCGCCCTGTTTAGAATATTGAGAACATATGATTTTGACAAACCAATTATTGTCAACATTGTAAGATCTGTTTAGAAAAATTTGTATTTAGTTTTTCATAAAACAAGTAAATGCTGTTCAACTCAAACTCAACACTCAAATATTAGCGTGAAAGTGCACCAACCCGCAGGTAGAAGAATGGTTATTTACTGTATTTACATAGTATCAAAGTCAGGAGGTTTAATTTTCAACTACGATCACAATGTACCAAAAGTGGAAAATGAACGAAAATTCACTTATCCTCTGGATATTCGACTAAACTACGAAAACAAAAAGGTTTCCGTACACTTTGGACAGCGCGATGGAATTAATGTGGGTCATGTTCTAACCGCGGTGAATGGAATGCCTGTAACTGGAAGGCAATTGGATGATGGAAGAGATGCAAAGGACGTGCTTGAAAGCAAGGAGAGTTACCCCTTAACCCTCAAGTTCAGCCGCCCTAAGATGACCACGAACGAGAAAATATTCCTGGCCAGCATGTTCTACCCCCTGTTTGCCATAGCGAGTCAGTTGAGTCCAGAGCCGAAGTGTTCTGGCATCGAAGTGCTGAAAGGAGACACTTTCAAGCTGCATTGCTTCCAAACTTTGACAGGAGTGAAAATTATGACTGTAGTGGACAGAAACCAAATCGGTGCTGAAGTGTTTCTAAAGCGGGTTTACGAACTCTATGCAGATTACGCTCTGAAAAACCCTTTTTACTCTTTGGAGATGCCGATTAGGTGTGAGCTCTTTGATACAAACTTGAAAGCAATGCTGGAACAAATCGACAAAAGTGGAATTGCCAGCATATAAGTTCCACAAAACATTATTATTATTGCTTCGAAGCCCTCAAAGCATTCAACGTAGTAAGGAAAAGAATACACAACATTTTTCACATTTTGTATTTTTTTTAATCCACGCTGCAAACATTTTCAGGTGGGATTTTGAACTTTTACAATGAAATGCATTTTACGAGTCCATAACTTTTACGAATGTCATCAGGGTCGAAAAATCAGCACGCTTAAAATACCTGCAACAAAATAAAATATATTAGCATTACGATCACTTGTTACATGAACATGCCGTACATTAAAGGCCGCTAAAGAATCTTTTAGAAAGAAGAAAGAAACAGCCCCAAAAGTTATAATAACAAGTTATTGAGCTGTTTTGCGATCTTTGTCCATCTGAGCTAATGAAAATAGCTAGACGGGTGGAGTCACAAGATAATTTGCCCTGTTTTACATATATCTGGCACTTTAGAAAAAATACCACATTATTAAGTAAAATGGGGCACTTATACCATTACACATCAGATAATATATTGGTTAATTTGTGAAACTGCAAACAGAATATTCAAATTTAACTGTTGAAAGCATTTTTGAAAACGATAATTTAACTTTTACTCGTGTAAATGAATAAACAGTATTAGCAAAGTTGTGGCTTGCTACACTGCACCACGTGCTGCATTTACAGACTTATTTAAAATGTGAATATTTTGCGGTTTTCGTCACACCTTATACACTAAAACATGTGCTATATAATACAGTTTTTACTTACATTTAGGAAGAAAATGTCCTTCCTACTTGGACCTCGCACGCATCTTCCTGCGCTTCCGCTTTAGCCTACGCATACGCTTCTTACGCCACTGAAAGGAAACACATTAATTAATACACGAGAAACGTAACCACGTTTTCAAAAATACGTTTCGCATATCAAAAAAGCATTTTGAGCCATTGGAAGTGCTGAAAACGATTGTAGTAATTAAAACATGCTGCAAGTGTGCTTTTAAACCACAATAAGGCAAAAATTGTCGAAAGCGCCAACACGATTTACAAACGCGGAGACATTTAAAGGCAACTAGTTTACTTAAAAAATCACGAAATTGATACACAAAACCAAAAAATACAAATGAAATTTACCTTCGCTCTCATCTTAGAGCTGTTTGGAAAAGTCTAGTTTTTGAAAAACTAGAGGATTTCCTAAATAACAGCCGATTTCGTACTGGACGACTTCGAAGACGAGAATAGAATGATGGCTAGAGGCCGGAAGAAGTGGAAACGCCAACTCGCTAAAGCTAGTGGCGCCACTGCCATGTTGCCAAAATTCAACAATTGCGATTCAATATAGCTGTGATACTAGTCAATAACGAATAAATAACGTTTAACTTTAAAGTTTGCGTCAAATAATTATAATTGCATAGAAAACAAATGACGTATATAACAAGTCATTTAATTCGCGGAAGCAAAAACAAATTGCTTAAACAACGTCACGGTTTTCGTTCAAGAATATAACTTTTTATTTGTAGCTAAATGAGCAATTCGAAAATTAGCTGCAAAATGTACCTGATTTTTTAAAAATTTCAGTTGAAAGTTATAATTTAATTTAAACAGCCGCACCCAATTGTACTAAAATCACAGAACACCTCTGAACCCTGGTAAATAAGAATTTGACGTTCAATGGCTTCCGGTCAAATTAAGTTCACTTCGTTGAAAGCGGTGTCTAAATTTCCTACATTTATCGTCTAGTAGAGTGTATATAGGTTTTATATATTAAATGAACCTTTATTAAAACATTTGCCTTGGATAGTTTTCTTCAAAAAAGCTAATCTGAAAAGCGAGGGAAAATTCAATATGTAGGTCACCCCTTTGCCAAGTGGTCAGTTTATTCAGAGTCGAGCTAATTGAAAAATCATTAAAAGAATTTGCTATCTAAACAAACAAAATATTCCACCAAGTATATCTCTCTAGTAAAGGCTCACATTGACATTTAATTAATGGACATAGAAAATCGTAAAACTCCTTGAGCATATTTTTCACTTTGGAAGTAAGCCAAGAAAAAATTAGTACACTTTGCAACCACGTACCACATGTTTAGTGTTTACATGTAGTTGTAGGTTATAAGTCATAAAACAACAATTATTAAATAGCTTTGTGCAGCAGTTTTAACACAGCAACAAAATTCTAGTGCATAGAACGATATAAACTCGTAAATGGCCTCTTCGACAAGACTGACACGATCCTCGGCCCGAAAATTGATGACGAAAAAAGCAGACTCATTAAAGAGCCCCACCTCAGAACATAAGGGCTGTAGTCTTAGAAATGAAGCAGCGGTTACTTTTCCTAAAGCTGCAGATCTACAAAAGACTCCGACGAAGCATAAAGCCAGCTGCGAGGTCGAATATGGTTACATCAGTTCAGTCACTCCTCCGAAACAGACAAGAACCCATGCCACTGATGTTGATAGCGTAAAAACCCCAAGTTCACTGTTTAAAAACCTCTCCTTGAAAAGTCCGGTAAAAAAGCCGAGGAGCACGAATACGAAAAAAAGCTTGTTCGAAGCATGTAACCAAGAGGAAGGCGTTGAAAAGCTGGAAAATGAGGCTGCTGAGCAGCTTGAAAAGCCGAAAACTCAGTATCAAAATGCCAGACGCGCTCTACATAGTCAGACTCCCACAGACATGCCAGGCAGGGAAAAGGAAATTGAGGACATTAGGAATTTTATAGAAGAGCATATAGAAAATGGCACCTCCGGGTCGATTTATATTAGCGGCCCTCCAGGGACTGGCAAAACAGCATCTTTGAATTTAATTCTGGAAGACAAAGGCGTAAGTAGTTAATTAGTCGAAATAGTAATTAAATCACTTCTAGGAGTTGCTTTTATGCCATTTCTCATAGTGTCCTTTGTAATTACAACATCAAATTGAATTTTTACAGATTTCCTCACTAATTCAGAAGATCTATATCAACTGTACGAGCATAAAATCAGCAACATCAGTGTATTCAAGATTAAATAAAGAACTGTGTATCAAAGTGAATGGAAAATCTGAAAAAGACAATCTATCTGCCTTTGAAAGGTATTTGAAGAAAAAGCACAAACCGATGTAAGTAGCAAATGTGTGTACTTCTGCCATAATTCAACATGTGAATTTTTGCAGATTGATTGTGTTAGATGAAATTGACCAATTGGAAACCAAGAACCATTCAATTCTCTATACAATATTTGAATGGCCGTCCAGATTGGATTCGAAAATTATTTTAGTCGGTATTGCCAATGCCTTAGACTTAACTGATCGGACACTCCCCAGGCTGCAGGCTCGATGCGACCTCAAACCGAAGCTCTTGCATTTTGCCCCATACACTAAAGAACAAATAGTCTGCATTTTCACTTCGCGTTTAAAGGCAGCAGGAGTTTTTGAAGTTTTTTCTTCTGTCGCCATCCAGATGCTTGCAGGTAAGGTAGCTTCTATATCGGGCGACGTGCGTCGAGCACTTGATATCGGGCGACGAGTGGTAGAACTCATTGACGAAAACAAAACAAGCGATATTTTGAAATCGGTAGAGAATTTCACTGCTGACCTCAAACCAACAGAAAATGGCACAAAAAAGGTCAACCTACAAGAAGTTGTAAGTGTGTTAAATAACGTTTATGGTACCACGCAAAATCTAACTGTGGATAGTGAGGAAGCCTTTCCTTTGCAGCAAAAAATTATCATCTGCACGCTACTTTTAATGCGTAGAAAAGCCAAGAACAAGGACATAACAGTGGGAAGGCTTCATGAAGTGTATTCGCGAGTGTGTAAGAAGCGGAATGTCACAGCAGTAGATCAGGCTGAGTTTGCGGGTCTGTGCGATTTGATTGAGACCAAAGGAATTATCAGAGTGATAAGGAAAAAGGAGCCAAGAATGCACAAAGTGTCGCTAGAGTGGAATGAAAACGAGGTTTCTGATGCTCTTAAAGACAAACAGTTAATGTCGACAATTTTGGACGATGAGTCTTGCCTAGTCGGCAATTTGTAAAAATCTGGAGGCAAATTTATATTTTTATTTGTACGCGAACAGTTTTAGAATGTGACTACAATTATGATAATTTGATTGCTTAGTTTTATTAATTTAATTTTATTGATGAAATTTTAAAAAAATGTGAACGCTTTTTGTTTTATTGGTGATGTTCACTACGTGACTGCCCAAAAGTTTTATGTGCGTTTTGGTGTTTTTCTGCAGAAGTAGAAGCAGAAGAAATTGTTTTATCTTTACATAAAATATTTTCCTTAAATCAAATTAAATTACTTATTTTCTTAAGATCGCTGGAGATTTTATTTTAGCTTTTTTGTTATTGACTCAATGTGGTATTTTAAGATATTTTTTGACAGTGGAATTTTTTTAACCCATCACGCGGCCGGTAAACACAGTATTTTCTTGTAGAATCAGCACATTCTGTTCAATCCTAGAAATGTGGCGCGCAAATATTTTACACTCTGTATATGGTAAGTCTTGCGGGATTTTTTTGGTTATTTTATGTTTTGTAAATATATGATAACACGCTGTTTTGGGTTTGTAGATACAAGAAAAAAACGTAATTTCGGTAACTCATTTATTTTTATCTGTAAACAATAAACAACAAGATTATGGCAAATTTTGGCATTAAATGCTTTGGCATTAAAACCCATCTAAAGAAAAATTAATACTCCGTCGAGCAAAACATAAGTATATACATGAAGTGGTAATTATAATATAATACTACAAATACGATTATCTTCTAGTGCTACCATAGTGTGAAAATACTTTGTAAAAATACCTCTATTCTATGACTAAAAGGCAAACATTGTTAATATATGTATATTATTTATTTAAGTTATTTACCTGATAAAGTATCATCACTAGAAGTCTGACTAATTTACTTCCATTTCAAAATTAGTTTTCTCTACTTTTAAATCACTAACATCTTTCTTAACAGCTAAGTCCCCAGTTTGTACATCTAATAATTGCGTTTCACCTTTATTATTATTAAATTTCTCTTCCTTCTTGATCCAGTCCAAAGACTGGCCACTGCTTTCCTCGAAAATAACATGTTCGTCTTCATCCTTATCTAAGTGGGAGGAGGTTAATTTTAAGTTATCACATATCATGTAACCATTCAAGTGGTTGGATTTATTTGGTACAAAATGTAACTTTTCGTGGTCTCTCGAAACATTGGCCTGTGGCACGGAGTAATCACAGTGTTCGCAAGAGTAGGTACTTTTCACGCCAGACACACATTCGTGTCGTTTTAAGTGGTTGTCCAGGCAATCTTTCCGCCCAATTGCATAAGGACAATACGGACAGAGGAAAGACTTTTTCTCTTCTCCAGTGGAAGATGAAACATGATTTTGGAGGGTATCATCCATTGGGTTTTCTGCCACACTCAATTCCTTTTTAACGTCATCGGTTGCCACTTCCATCGCTTCGTCTCCTTCATCAATATCTTCACTTTCGTTTGCTGTTTTCTTCGCAGCATGAGCATCATCACTGAACTTATGCTCCTTTAAATGTTGGGCAAACCTATGGCTGTGCTGAACCGAATAGTCGCAATGTTCGCAATTATATCGTTGCTTCGACCCATGCAATGCCAGGTGGGCGTTGTATTGATCGCGTTTTTCAAAAGCACTGGGGCATTTGTGACATTTATATCTTTTCTCCTTCATTATTCCATTTTTTATATGGGGTTGGTAGATGAAATCCGGATTTCCATGCCTAAACTCTGCAAACTGGCGATCGGGCGTTTTTCGCTTGCCTTGATTGTCTTCGGCATTCAGTTCTGTTTTTATACCTTGAGCCAGTTGCCTCTGCTGCGCCTCAGATCGCTGTTGGAACAAGTCCGTTCCGGATAATGGCACTGTCGTAGTCGATTTCAAGGGTTTGCTGAGGAAGGATGCTAAAATATTATTTCTTTGATCTTCTGAAACGCCCCAAATCACCTCGTCGTTCGAAGAATCTTTCGCCTTCACGTTCGGTTCCGGATGAGAAGGACTGGTTGAATGCAGTTGCCTCAACTTCTTCGTTCTGTCTTGATATTCTGACGTATGTACCTGTAGGTGCGAAGTTAAATAGTGCTCGTTGTCTGCAGCATAACTGCAATGATCGCACTTGAAGTCCAATTCGGAGTTGTGGAATTGGCCGTGGATGTTAAATTCGGTTTCTTTGAGGAATCTGGCGGGGCAGTGTTTGCAAAAGTGAATCAATTCTTCCGTTGAGTCAACCTCCTCCATCTCCACTTCCAGGAATTGAGATGTGTCGATTCCTTCTGCTACTGAACTGAGGGCTTTAGTGAGTTCGGTAATTTGCTCTTCGTCAGACTTGGTTAGATCTACTAGACAGTGCACAACCCCGTACAGGCCCTGATGCACTTTCGAATGGGAAGAAAGCACTCCTGCATTGTTGCACACGTAGTTGCATTCGGTACATCGGTGTTCGATATCACTAATTCTGGTCGAGGATGGAATTTTCTCTCGCGTACTGTGCATTTTTTCATGCTCGTGAATATTGACCTTCCTCAAATTGATGTGAGGGCAGTACCTGCATTTGAACATCTTTGAAAACTTCCCGTCCTTTGAAACCCATACTAGTGGAATATCAGGAAATTGAGACGAATCCATATAGGACTGTGTTGCAGCAGGCTCTAAATCATCGCTCATCTCTCCTAGATCGACAGCATCTCCACTCAGCTTGGAAGGGGACACGCTAATCCCGTGCACTTTGAGATGTTGGTGCAACAGGTGCTTTTTGCTCACATTATAGGAACAGTAATTGCACGTATACTGTCCGCCTCTATCCTTATGAAACTGCCTATGATGCATGAACTGGGACTTGGAATTCGTATCATAAGGACAAAGGCCGCAGCGAAACTTTTTACTTTCGGAGTCACTGGATATGGCCGTATGCAATCTCAAATGTTCGTAAAACTCATTTTCGTCAACAGTTCCATACTGGCAAACATTACAACTGAAGGCGTCTTCAGGTGGCTGCATGTGGCCGGCCAAGTGTTGCTCGAACCAATCCTGATTGTCGTTGCTGTAGGGGCAGAAGGTGCATTTGAAGGAGCCGGTTTGAATCACTTCGATGTCGTCTGGTTCGTCTAGTTGCTCATCGATTTCGATTTTTTCCTGTCCGTTCTTAGTGCTTACCACTCTGATATCGCCGTTGTGCTTCAATCTGCAATGTCGCTGAAACAAACAAATCTCATAAGTATTCAGTTTTTTCGTTACGAAGATGCGAAAGAAGCGTTTCAAACTGAGCAGTCGAGTCCAAGAAGCAGGCAGTTCTTTTTACTACTAACAAAGTGATTTGTGTTTGATGTGTTTCCAGCCATTTATCAAGTTAGTGTCGCTTCAATAAATGTCCCTCAATATAATTTGTAATTTTACAAACACGGAATTAAGGGCGTGGGCTTGATAATTGCATGGAATATATCCCATTGTGCAAATATGCTTGGTAAATATACATTTCTCTTCGGTCTTGTCAGCAGTTTCCAGAAAAACACGAGAATCGAACTAATATATTTGTTTCACTTTCGTCTTTCATTTGAATAGTTTTTTCTAGAAAATATGTCCCGTATTTATTATTATATTTATTTCTATATTATATTGTAAAAATGGGATGAAAAATTGTAAAAAAACGAAGCGTCTTTCCCTAAAATCTAGTGCCACTTTCAACAAAACACACCGTTAGCAGAGCAGCTTAATATAGTGGGACGCTCTGTATATTTGGATCAAAAATCCCAATTTACAGTTTCACTGTTTTCCAAATGTCCCGCTTTATATTTTTTGTGGTGTAAAATGCATATGAAAGCAAGTTTACAAAAAAAACAAATATAATTTTTGCAAGAAACTTAATGTTGCTACTGATTGTAAATCGATTTTAACTTAATTTTAAGAGTTTTTACTGAAGAAAATGCCACTATGTGGTATGGTTTACTCTTTCTTTGCATCACCAGTTTCTTAAACTTGGACGGGAAAGCCCGTATAAAATGTAAATATTTGAATACAAAAATAGAGAAAAACTGACAAAATATTAGAGAATAACATTTTTAGGCAGAAAAATGGGTATAACTGGAAATTAGCACATTATAAATACAGATGTGGAATCCAAATTGATACATATTAAAAGCAAGATCAAGCTGTTTGTATACTTAAAAATTGCAGTAAATTTATTTTTCACAATTGATAAGGGAACTATAGAAAAAGGTGATATTAAAGGAAAAACATTATCAAGAGAAAAAGTGCCATAAAATTGGAAAATCTCGCCTCATAACAATTGAAATACAATTTCAGATCTGTATATAAGCTTCATTAAAAAACCATTAAGGATTTTAAAAGAAAAACGTCCAAACCCAGAGGGGTTTACCACTCTGGAGTTTGTTTGGAAAATAAAAGACCCCCCACAAACGTTAATTAAAATCTTATATGAACCTTAAAGTAATAAATTCGATTTACTTTAAAACACCAACGACCAATGTTGCTTTACGTCTCATTTCTAATGGGTTTGGGATCGTTTAGTTATTTTGGGACACACTCGTTGCGGCTTTTAGTACTTGAATTTTTTTAATCGGCTATTCTGTAAACACACAATGTTTACTTTGCGCATTTAAATTTGTCACTAAATTTATTTATTACAAACCGCTGCAGCAGTTTCAGTTAAACTGAGCTTACGGTGTGCGGAAAATTGCAAATGTGTTCGTAAATGAACTCCGCCTAGATTATTCTAATGCCTATTCAGTACTTAAGCAGGTCTTGACCTCTATAATTAATCTTTACGAGGTAAAATAAAAATGACCTAGTTTATTAATTAGTTCATATATTGGTGTCTTTAAGTGCAAATGAGGAGTCTTATCCTACATCAAATACTCCTCACTATTTCGCAATAAGCATGCTGCCTAAATTACGCCAAAGGTTAAACCCAATAAAAATAATTAACATTGAATACTTCGATGCATAAACGGAGAAAAACCTCATACAAGACCATATTCCAAGGATGCCAGCACACTAACTACCTTATTAACTAATGCAATAAATACATTCTTCATTCTTTTAATGCTTGCCCATCGTTCGACCACAAATAATGCCGGGTATTGTATTTTTTTACGATTGTACTTGGTACCCAATTATTGCACCCGACTTCGCATTGGTTAATGTGGTTCAGTTGGAGACAATTTCAACAGAACCAATTCTATTTTTAGTTGCATCTAAACCAATTCTCTAATATTTATTACAGCCATTGCAAAATCATCAATTTGGTAGATTATACTTGTTGGTATCTTATCATAAGTCTTTTCAATAATCACACTTCTTAAAACCGCTTCAAAGAATTATTTACAACGACGATGTGCATTAGATAACACGGCTTGAGGCTTAGTGTATTTCGTAGAAAAGGACAATTTTTGATTTTTTTCATATCGATTAATTAATACGAATGCATTTTTTTATTTAGACATAATTTCAGCTAATGGTGTCACCAAAATAAATTCATCACGTAAAAGCAGAATTGATGATTAATTTTTTTATGTCCTGATCGATCACGAAATAGGCGATTCGTCCTGGTATGACAAGAAGGCCAGTCAAAAGCACATGGGTCTCCATGGCGACGGACCGATTACGGCACATTAGCTACGGGGTGTGATCAAGTACACAGACAATAAAAAAATAGATGTGTAGGTAATTCGAACGTTAGACGTCATGATATTACGTATATGAAAAAAATCCAGCAGAAACGCTCGCTTGACGCCCATCACAGGATATCATCCGAACAACAATAGAATGAAAGACGGCTGGCTGAATGTAATTTTCTTGGGCAAATATAATTATTTATTAAAATAATAGTAATATTACGTTTTCTTGATTGCATAACCAAGAATAAATTGTAGCCAATTCTTTTGAGATGATATTTTTCACATGGAAACCGCTCACAAGTGTTTTTAGCAAGAAAACAAGATTAAACATCGTAAAGCAGATTAAGGACTGATAAGTGATTAGTTGAAATTTACACTCGGTAAATAATTAAAGAACGCAAGACAAAGACATGATAAGGCTCAAGATTAAACAGTTTTCGTCATCGGGGAATTTGGCTCAACTTTTCTGGTTATTTATTGAGGGAATCGACAATGAAAATCGAATATTGCAATTGAACGCCGACCATTAGACTTAAATTAACAACGTTCAGTTTTGCCAGCAAATAAGCAATTGGAGGATAAATTGAATCGATTGGCGGAATAAAATGCCCAATTTAGTTGCCTTGAAAGTTTTCAACTAAGTATCTATTTTACAGGCCCTGCGTTGACTGAAAAGCTTCGCGACAACTTTCGCTATTAATGCAAAAGGATTTTTCGACAAGAAAATGACTTTGCACATGTTAGAGACACCACATTATTTCTGGTTTGAGTGACTAGTTGAAATTGCAATATTTGCATTAGAATAATGCAAATAAACAATCAGCCTGATAAAATTGATCAACACTTGAGTACTTGAGTACGGAGGACAAAAAGCTCATGTTTCAACGGAATTTGCAATCGCGATTAACACCGGGTGTTTTCTTGGCCAGGGGCGAGTTTGAACAGTTACAGAATATGCTTTGCGAATATTTCAGCTTAGTAATTGCGCTTCGCTTTTTTCAACTGCAACAAACGACGTAAAATGGACGAGTAGTTTTTTCAACACACTTCAACCGTGGCATTAACATTGCCCAATGAATATGCATAAAAACTTTTGCATGATGACACTGAAAAAGGATCAACCAGTACGTGAATGGCATTCACATTGATAGTCCAGACTATGGAGCGATAAAAAGAAGCGCTTTAAGTGCTGCAATGATGTCATCCTTCTTGGGTACCAAATAAGGGGTTCAATGAGTTTTTCTAATAATTCCTTAGGTTGTAAAATATTTAAGTTTTTGCGCCTTTGTATGAAACTGGTGAGTTTTCAGGCAATTCGGCAAGTACGAAAGTACACAAGTTGTGAAAGGTGTTGAACAAAAACTCAGCCAGTTTGAAATCCTCAATTTGAATAAAATAACATGTTCAAAACGGCCTCATTTACTACTCAAGTGCAGTTGATTTGATATTAAAAATGATTTATTGTGAGACACATGCAACACAAAACCCAGCCGCCAAGCATGCAGGAAATCTTACAACCAGAAAAAACTTTTTTGGGAAGTTTTGGGCGCGTTTCTTCTGCCGATAAGATGTTACCCAAGACAAAAAATAAGCGACAAACACATTAGTACGGTTAGTAAGCAGGGTTAGTATACCTGAATGACATGCTTCCAGTTAGAACCTTGATTACAATGGCCGCAACGAAAGGGCGCATTAATGGTGGGGTCGCCCTTCGTCGCGGGGCTGTTATTTACACTTGCCTCGTCTCTATCAGGACTCGTACCCCTTAAACTTAATTCCTGCGACGAGAACAATCCGCCTGCAGCACCCGATCCAGTTACCAAAGACAACGGTGAAGGAGTGACAGTCAAGTGGGCTGCAGCTGCCACTGCGGACTGCATCAGTTGTTCCTGCTCATCCAGATGCTCCTGGTGTTGATAGTGGCCCTTCACATGCTGCAGAAGAATTTCCCTGGATGCATCTCTACAAATCCAATAAAACCAGCATTAATTTGATGAACGACGATCCGCAAAACTGTTAATTGGTGTTACACTCTGACCAGCGCAATCATTAGTTGTTGCCACGAAAGAAACGCTTTCAAACACGGAGGAATAATTAGCTAAATTGCACTTAATCGCTACCGATGGACTAAAAACTGATCTTTGGCACCTTAATTTCTTGACCACTTCACATGTGACACGTAAAACAGATATTTCCAGTTTTTGTTCTTGCTCTTATTAGTGACGTTCGGCCAATAATGGGCCGATAATTATGCACTAGTTCGATTCGTATCTTTGAGCATTGAAACTCATTTTTTTAATTGCAAGATTATTGGACTTTCGACCAAGATCTTGATGTATTGCAACGAACTGCTTGGCTGACAGTGTTAAATTGTATGCGTTTACCTTACCGTTTACCGGCAAATACACAGTTATTATCATTAAAAATTCATGCAAACTTAAATGTTCCCAGTAAAATTATTGTTGGAAATTGACTTTGAGGAAAGTGTTTCTTCAATAACCAGAACTACTGCCACTGCAGAACTACAAACGAATTATCAATCATCTGACCAGGACATAATAAAAACTTGGGGGAAAGGGACTAGGACTGGGTAACACTGTGTTGAGTTGATGCCGCTCTGTGAGTTAGCGCCTCATTGCGCCGCACCTCGAATTGCGATTGTGGCGGAATACTCCTTGAAATCTTAAAGGACATTTTTAGTTAGTTGAAATTTCATTGGTTCTATTTTCTATCATCGCTCGGAAATTGAGCAACAGTTTAATTTTTAGGTGATTTCTTGTTAGCGTTTTTTGATTAGTCAATATTTTTAGAAAAACAACATTAATTCGATTATTAATTTTAGTTTTGGCGTTGTGCATTAAACACTGCAGCTGAGTGAAATTCAGGCAAATGTGAATTGCTTTAAATTTAAAATTAAATAAGTAAAATATCGGCGTTTGGAGCGTTTTTCGTTTAGTTGTTGTTGACTTGTGAATGTTCATTTTGCTACCGGCAGTGTACGAAATTGGTCGATGATCGYATTCTTAGATGGAAAGAAAYATTGTGGCCCTTATGGCAAATGTGGTAGTTTGTAAAAGTGTAGTGAACTTCTTGACGATTCATGGGTRGMAAAWGTAGGATTACTTTAGCCCTAATTCCCGTTCAACTRACTCGTAGCGTGGATTTGCTATCCAWTAAACTATTCTTTGGTAGTTTAGTAGATTTTTTWAAYTTTGGGAATATTTTGAGCGGCTTTGTATTTTTAAGCCGCTTTCTATCAAGCTCATCTAAAGCTTTTCGCTTAAGARACGCTTCAGATMTGGAAATTTGGGTTCCAGTATTCAATACGAGAAGCATCCGCTTACTGACAGTGTGGATTTGGATCCGAYTAAGCCATTGATTYCTTCMCAAGAAAATTTTATACTCTGGTAATATTTTGGGCGACTGTCTCCAAAGAACCGTTTCAGATATGCAAATATGGGTTCCACTTTTATGTTTATTGCTTAAAAAAAAAGGCAAGAGTTTTAGTTTTGCCTGTKTTTTTTTAAATTGCAATATCGACTGAAAGATGACGCCACCTGTTTTTTYGCACCGTCACCGACACTGTAACTGTGAGTTACTGTGCCGGTGCGWTGGATTGGCGCACCAAGCCGGCATCACTGCGCTAACTCCCGAAAATTCACTCAATGAGACCCTGCTAAACATTTAACTTTTTACTATTTTACACATAAAACTAKCATTTCAAGTTCCACTAAAAACATCCSAATCTTTTCAATGCTTAACTGTTGCATGCCGCATCAAACAATATTGCTCAACAAAKAGYTCAAGTTCGCTTATTSWATCYAGTTAAAAAAAGTGTTCTTGTATGTGTGTTTTTGCGATTAAACTGTTTTCMACATWCCGCAAACTACTCRGGACTAAACTTGACTAATTATCGCYAGCACTTAATTAACGCAACAGTACAAATGGGGAAACCTTGAGCGAAAGAACAACCATACACTTAAAGTTTTTTACAGCAATTTCCACGAAAGTACTTATACTGTTATCACCAAGAAAAAAACCACATTGATTTCATGCCACATTCACCTGATAAGGATTGAAATTTATGGAAAACCGAAACAAGCAATAATACGTTTTGCAATTAAAAATGTATATTGTTCTTTGGTGATAAGACGTCTTAAAGTACTTTTGAAATTTCATTGTTACGAACCGATAAAGGCAAAGTTTTTAAAATGCAACGAATTAAACTGCCAAAGCCGAGTAGAGTAATCGAATCGATTCTTTAGTTGGGGATTAAAGTGGAAAAGAAAATAACTCTTATCGATTTTATTATATTTGGTTAAAGTTGATTATCTTGGCAAGTCTTATCGCAAGTTTTTTCTTAATTCAAGGTGTATTTGTTACAAAATTGAGGCCAATTCGAAAGCTTTAAAAGCGCGCCACAACCAGGAAAAATGGAAACTGCTTCAAAAATAAAAAAGAAAAATACGCAGAGGAACACAAAGAAATTGAAAATATATCAACGACTTTAAAACACCCCGATAAGCAGATAACGAAACTGTAAGGAGCCTTGAGGTTTACTACCTTGGGAAAACAATAATGAGGACAGCAAACATACAAGAGGTCAAATTAATAATCGAAGATAACCATGAAGCTGCCGAAATCGACAAGACATATTCCTAGACAAGCGAATTAGAAAATCAAAGAAAAGTTGAAGGGAAAAGGTAAAAATGCATCGACAAAATAAAATTGCAAACAACACAGGAAGTAAATAAGACACAAGATATGTGAAGTTTAACTTTGCAGTGTATCAAAAAACATTTTCGCAGCTATGGTGAGTTTTTCGTGCTTTTAGGCTTTTAGGTCATGAAATGGACTTTTTGTCTGACGTTTCACAAGCACGAGTATCACCGATCTTCAGAGGTGGTGATTGCGTTAAGCAAAGACCATTTTTCCCCAGATTCCAAACGTCCGAAAACTCTCCGCAGTTTCTTTTACTATTGGCTTTTTAAAATATTTCCTCAGAGATTTTAAAAGCGTAATCAGTTATCAACACAATAAAAACAGTAGATACAGCCCTGACCTTTTATGCAAATGTTATAAATCCCAGCCAAATGATGATGCATTTTGATCAAGTGACGCTTTTTTTGGAGCGCAACCAAATTAGTGCATGATTTTGGCCAAAAAAGACTATTGACACTAGTTTGGACTAGACTAGACCAAGGTCTGAACGAGATTTTGAAAAAATCACATTTATCTCCAAGAAAAAAGTTGTTAACTTGAAGAAATTGTGTAATTGCAACAATACAGATACAGAGTATCTCAAGATCTGGGCTAAATAAACGTTCAAACATATTGCAAGTTTCATAACAAATTTCCTAAGTATGGTGGGCGTATAGTGTAATAATAATTATCATATCATTTAACACATACAGGTGAAGGTCGTGGATGTTGTCTAATAAATGTCAAGTTTAGCAGCATCTTTAGCATAATGGAAAATGTCACCCGTATAAAGATTGATCCTTATTTAATATTGTAACATTGGCCGGTTGGAAACGGAGAATAGCGTGTATTTCATTCGGTCATTTAATGAAACGCTCACAATTAGATAAGAAGCATTTATAGCTAATAAGTATACATATTATTCTGCATTTCCGGTATTTAACTTCGGTAATAATTAAGATAATCTGATAATTGGTAACCACAATGACTTCTTCTCATCATAATTAAATGCAAAGGTTTCTTCACAAAAAGTGCAAAATCATTCTTAATTTGTTTTAATGGCAGAAGACGCGTATTATTTTATTTTTATAAATAATCTATATGTATTTGCATGCATTAAAAATATGACTTGAATTATTATGAAATTAAAATTATGCGGCAAAATATGTGAAGAAAGATGTGCATACATCTCCGCTTTACTAAACATTTTCGGATAGATTACAATGTAAAGTAACAATGTTGCAATTAATCGAACATGAAGTTACGGAATTATCTTTATTTAAGAACAAGCAAACACTTCCCTTGATGACGAATGCTTACGATAATGCCGCATTTGTTGAATTCCTTTCCGTTTCACACTTTTTTTTGTTAAAGAGAGTTTAAATGTTTGTTTTTTTAGTTTTTCAACAGCACGTTAATCAGTTTTATTCAGTTTGAAAACTTGCATTTATTTGGAAAAATTAAAATACAAAGTTTTTGAGTTCAGTAAATAAGTAGATCGATTAATTATTATCTGTTTTATTTTGATCGTGGATATCTGTAATCTGGAAGTCGCACTAAAACGGTCGTTAAATAAGGTAGTAAAAGTAAACTAAAAATGTTATCATTAAAGTTACTTAAAAGGGTTCAATTGATTATTTAATGATCGATACTGGCCAGCCTTGGTTTTTTCACATACATCCACAACCGAAAATATGGTTTAAAAACGCCAAAAGTTTTGAAAGTGGACTCTTTTGAGACTTTATGTTATCGCTTTCCATTCGAAAGGAAGAAATTCCATTTTTCGACGGCCTAAAAACCGGGAAAACTCACCAGTTTCATTATCGATAGTGTTTGAAAAACCATCGGATAGACGCGGCTATAGATAATGAAGTAATTTATCAGGTTATTTCACGAAAAAAAAATTATAAAAATAAGCCCGGAAATGTAACGTTTCCAAAATGCAGAAAGTAGTAGTAGTTGAAAATTATTCAAAAATCTTTCACTCAATTTTTTTGAAGATTAGATTCTTGCATTTGAGGTGGTCGCTTTCAACAGTTTTCTACTTTTTGCTAAGAAAATTCTTGTTGTGAAGTTTTTTTGTCTGATAAATGAACAGGAAAGAAATTTTTTATCTCGTAAACGCAGCAAGTTGTATTTTTTACAATAAATAATAGTAAATCTGTGGCACGCATTCTTCTGCGAACTCCACTGGACGTATTTGCATTTTTTTACAAAAACGGTAATTAAAAAATGTGTACATCCGGCATCTTGAAAACGATATATTCGGTTACCTATGTTTATAGCAACTCTACTTTCCACTAGTTTTCGATAAAATAAAAAAATGCCAACAAAACCAAGTAAGCAGAAGGTAAAAAAAGTGTTCCAAAAGGTTTTTAAAGTGCGTTTTTCCCAGTTTTCAATGGATTTCAGTTGATTTATGTGGCCCTGATTTTTGCCATCAAAGCTCAATGATCATATTTTCATCATATCATTGTATTCTCGAAGCGTGGGCCAATTAAATGTATTTTTTTTATTTGTAATATCGGTCTTAGTTTTACATCCATTTTTAAGTCAATTCCTTGTCTTTTCCATTTCTTGTCCTAAAAATGCCTACTTTGTCCAATTAGTCAATTTTTTATTTTAAAAATAGAAACCAGTTATCAAAAATTTCATCACAGTTAATAGATATGCGATATCAGTTATGTATATGTCTACACACTCTTAAAATATCTGTCTGAACTTTGAATCACTGTGTATTTTTGCGGTAAGATTATTGACAGAAAATGAAGCGTAGAGAAACTAGATTTAATTAAATTTTTGTCACTAAATTTTTCAAAAACATGCTGTCACAAATAGCAATTTTTGCCGTCTAAATATCGAGCGTATTCAATAGTCTTAGAAAATTTGATACCGTGGTTTACTGGTCATTTGACATAAAAAAATGTAGGTCATATTTTGTAATATAAGTACCTAAGTGCAAAAATTTACTTCTTAGCATTTTGAATCAGAGATTTTTTTTGTTAAAAGAACGGTTAGTTGAATGAGCAAATAAAAAAATGAAGGCAAAAAAACACGGAACAAATTCTTCTATTAATAATCTTGAGACTCGTCTCAAATATTTCCGCAGAAACATAATAACGCGAACAAAAATTACAGTCATTGTTATTATAATTTTATAAAAATGTAATTTACTGTTCATTTTGACCGAAAAATCCGCTCTTAAAATATGTACTTCCTTTGAATCACCGTGTATTTTTCAGACGACTATGGAATAAGCCAATAGGTCATGGAGCAATTAAACAAATTCTTGTATTAATGCCTCTAAATTTTTCAAAAACGTGCTCAATATCGAGCCTCTTCAATAATACTCAAAAAGTTAGTGTTCCCTTTGTTGTAATAACAAAATTGGGATCGGAACCCAAGGATACATTTTTGGGAACGTTTTTTTCCATCTTCACATTTTGGCCAATTTGACATGAAAACTTTTAGTTCAATTTTTTTTACATAAGTGCAAAAACACACTTTTCAGGCTTTTGCATCAAAAAGTTTTCTTGCGCTAAAAACTGTTGAATGACCGAATAAAAAAACAAGAAACTAAATAAACCTCTTTTATAGTTTGGTAATAGCCTCTAGGCTCTTGCAGAAGAATTCGGGAAAAGCATGGTAACGCAAACAATTTTCGCGATTTTCAAAATCCAGCCCCATGAATACCCCCGTAAAAATTATAATGTTATTGCTATGATAATATGATAATTTTCGAGAAATTGAATGCAAAACAGCCATTTTAGAGCGCAATTTTATTCTTAATTTACTGGTCATTTTGATCCAAAAACGCGCTCTTCTCACACCGTGTATTTTTTGCGTTAGAAGACGGTTGACTCAGCAAGTAGAAAAATGAAGGCAAAGAGTAACTGAACAAATTCGTCTATAAATAACCTCTAGACCCTTCTAAAACAATTCCTCAAAAACATGATAACGCAAACAATGAATAAATGCGAATGCCAAGCTCGTGAGATAGCGTTCGCTTTAAACCACGCAACGTCATCCCAGCTATTTAAACAAATTGCTGCATTATTCATCACTTACCTAAAATTGCACTTTTTGCATTTGAACAAGGTCCGCTTGCTGTCCGAGTTCGATTTCTTCTCCTGAGTGATGTTGGCCAGAAAATGCTTGCCTGCCATTCTCAGTGCGGGCGGTGGCCGAATGTTGGAGATCTTCAGCAGCGAATTCAAGTCGCCACTGGTTGGCATCTTATTCGATTTGTCCCCCTTGCTGGTGGATGGTGACGAATTCCTGTCATGGTTCTTTGGACGGGTTCCCGAACCCCCGCTGGTTTCGCTCGACGATTGAAGGCTGCTCAAAGGTATCTCCGTCAGGTATTTGTTGTATTTGGTGTAGTTTCTTCTGCCCGTCTCGTCGGTCATTAATACTTTCGCATTTTCGTGGGCTTGATCCCTCACCGATTTCAGCTTGATGTGTTTGGTGATGTCCCATCTCCAGTTGGAGCGATAAGAGCACAACGAACATTCGAAGGGCTTCTTGTTAAGATGGCCCACTATGTGAACATGAAATCGGGAGGCCGTCGATGCCCAAAAAGTGCAATGCGGGCATTTGAAAACCCTCTTGTGCTGTGCAACCGAAATGTCGTTTCCATGGGTGGGAATCTTTTCCGTTGTCGTGGGAGTATGAACTGGGGAATGCTGAACGCTCCCGGGAAGATTGTTGTTGGTGTTAATGGTATTATTGTTTTCTTGTCCTAAATAACTACTTTCACTGTTAACTGGCGACTGGGTCCTAACTGACAAATCCAATGAGACATTGTCGTCGATTCGATCTTCTGTGTACTCGTAATTGGAGTCGTCCACATCGATATCCATTGGAACCATAATGTCGTTCCAAACGAACACCTTGTTTTCCATCGGGTGTGGCTTGTTGTCGAACTCGTCCTCTGCGCTTTGTCGATCTTCGTCAATTTTCAGCTCATTCTCCGGCTCTGACAAGGTATCATCTTCCAGCTTGCGGTACTTTAGGGCATCCTGGCAGGTTTGCAGGTGATTGAAAAGATCCGTACTCGACTTGCATCTTTGCCTGCAATGTTGGCACCTCGACGCACTAATGTTATGTATGGGTATGTAATGGGGAGCTTTGGTAATTTCTTTGCCGCAAATCTTCTTGTGCTTCGCCTGCTCTGTCAAACACTTACTTTCGTGGCCGCACAACTCACATATCAGGTTGCATCCGGTTGCGACGCCCAACTTCTCCTTCAGATGGTCGAAGAACGACGCGTTTTTATGCTTAAAGTCCATTGTCTTGTTTTTATTCGCTACTTGAAATATTGATGTGGGAATAAGATCAGGTACTTTTGAAGTCGTCGGGTTCTTGAACACGTCCTCGGACCCGAACAACGATGCAAAGTCTTTTAGCGCACTATTTCCAGACCGACTGCAAATGTCGTTAATATCCTTCTGGCTCATCGCTGGCTCGCGGTTTTCTGGAAATTCCGCCTTTACTTTAGCTGGAAACGGAATTGGAATCAGGTTGGGAATCGGCCTCGGGGCCTTCTTCACCGCCCGATCATTTGCATCTCTTCCAAAAGTGTGAAAATATTTCTCATGTTTTGCCATTTCACTGTCCCACGCTGTCTTGAAGTTGCACAATTTGCATTTATTCTTAATATACACCTTCCCATTAGAGTGTTGGATAATATCGTCCGGATGAATAAAATCCGACAACTTTCCCTGAAGCGTCGATTCACTTATCACACCATTTGTACTTGCACTAGAGCTCACTTTGGCTTTCTTTGGAGTTGTTTTGATTTTCGGCCTGGTCCGATGCGGTTCCTCTTTCACTGCAACGTCTGGCCTGGATCGAGCGTCCGTTTGTTGCGCTACCTGAAACAAACACGACCGAATCAGGAAATTGGAACGGATTGAAAGTCCGCAGGAAATGAACGATAAGTTGTGCCGGCACCGAAGGAAAACCCGAAGTAACTCAAGTTCCACCTAATGTAAAGAGCGGAGCGGTCTTATCGCAAACACTGCTTAAACAACATTCATAATTTTTACCGGGCTTCGCATGATAACAGGCGGGACATATCTGCAGGTACGGCGCACCTTGCCACACTACGGCCTGCCTCATCGGAATCGTAGGTTTTCGCCTGCAGCACGATGATTTCCTGCACGACCTTCATGGAATTGGAACAAAACGAAATTTATTAACCAAACAAATTGTTGTAAACGTCGTGGAAATATCGCTTTTTAAGGGAACAGAGGAAGTGTCTCAACAGTTTTTCAAGATTCGGCTCTTTGCACATACTTAGGAGTCAAACAGTTTGATTAGATTAGGCGACGTTTGTATGATCGATAGTCCGTTTGCCAAACATACCCGACATGGATCGCAAAACGTTTTCGTTCCATTGCTTCATACTCCTCCTGTATGTCCTGCTGCTTCATATGGTTGTATCAGTCGTGTGAGCAGAATTTTTCAATTAATTACATTTAAAACTGTCCAGCGCCAGTCGAACATTCAGTCATTTGCAAATATTGATAGCATTATTATTACTTTAATTGTGTATACAAATGAGTATACAGAATTTCATCCGAATTCCAGCTTGAGAACACACCCAATATATTTCGTCTCTTAGAGGGCAAAGTAAGAAACCATAGCGTATTTTTTGTAATTCGTCAATAACTGAAGGTGTTAATTAGCTAAGCACTTTCAACCTTGGCAGGTCATCACTTTAAATAACTCCAGGTAAAAAAATCTAGAATATTCAGAGGAATAAAATTTAGTCAACAAACTTGAAGACGAAGACTCAAAGAAATCCTGCTTTTCGAGTGTGTGATATACAGGGTCTTCTATACTCGATACGCGCTTGAACAAACCACGCTACGTAAGCACGAAAATCGAGAAGATCGAAGAACGATGTTGACATAAAACGAATTTCGGATTAAAGTGGGCGCTTCTTGTCCAAGATAGATAATGAAGGTCTTCTTTAAAAATCCATCTTCAAAGCTAAGCTCTTTAAAATTTATATTTAGTTTCTATTGAAACGGGGTCACATACACAGTCAGGGAATTTCGCTGAAACCGTTGATATAATTTTTCATCTGCTTATGCTGATTTCCTTCATTTTCCCCATTTATTCAACTTTTCTTGCATTTAACCCAGTGTACGTTGCATAAACGCAGTGTCATCAGCATATAGCGCGAGGTTTCTTTTTTTTGGATAATTTTCAGAACTGAATGATCTTAAAAAAATCCGACTTTTCTCTCAATTGAACAATTTAAGTTAAGTGAAGGATTTGCTTCTGAGCCCAAATTACTCAGCCGACAAAGTGTTCTGAATTCGATAAAAAAAACTAAGTTCTCAAAGAGGCGAAAATGATCCACGATTAACTTGAAATATGAATTTCTCAGATGAAACAAAACTTGAAAAGTTGAAAATTTTGCTCAGTTTGGAATTAGTAGAAGAAAGTGCACTGGAGGTTCTGAAATTTTCAATAGATTTTTCACAATTTCTACAACCGTTCCGTTCGCACACTATTTCCGTACGACTCCTTTCGAACATTAATTTTATTTCAAAAAAATCGTAGATCTGGCGATTTCCCGCATTAAATAGAGAAAAGTGCATTTTGTAAGCCTTGAAAATGTAAAATTATTTTTTTAAATCAAATTAACCTAGTTTTTTTAAAGAAGAATTTCTGAGAAACAAAAAACTACCGGTAACTGGCCGTGAGTAGAAAAATAATAAGTAAATCCCGAAAATACATGTTAAAAAACGCATAAATCATACCGAGAGTGCCTAAGTTAGTGACCAATTCTGAAGAGTACTTTTCAAACTGTTGCTTCAGACGATTAACTTTAGAATGTTTTGAGTTTCTATACATACGATTTTTCCCTTAAATTAAATACCTACACAGTTTAAATTATTCAGTCTTATTGCGACGAAAGTGCAAAATCTTACTTTTCAGAACAAAACTGAGCTCGATTATAGGAATAAAGGACTCAGAATGAAAATTTTCGTAGATGTCGTCTGTTTCACCTCATTCCAATTGCATCAAGAATTGGCATGCACTTTGGGTTATCCAAAAAAAACTCTCCAAAACTACACTTTGTAAAATTGTCACCTTTTCCGCTCTCGGTGTTTTTTTGCAAAATTTACCAAAAAAACCGGAATAATTTTCCTAAGTATAGGATGTCCCGTAAAATTTCCCAAAGGTCACAATAATCTACTCTCTTTCGCGAACCGCCACGGTTGATTCCATGACCAACAGAAATTGTTGTTCCCGACTAAATCAATAAAAAATCTTTACGTTATTTGCAATATTAATGAACCAGATACGAAGCAATGAGAATTTATTGGTCGAACACCATTATTAATTAAAGCGATGAAAAAATCCATCGGAAATTAATTACGGTTTGCATCGATTTTTTTTTCTTCGGTTTTTTTTCCTCGCCAAATCCATTATCCAGTTTGCGGTAGGCAGTGAAAAGTTTGAAATTGGCCAGGGACGACCGTTTAGCAAAACAATTAGTATCCATTGAAAAAAATCGGTTTGATTTGGTTATTTGAACATTTACAATTGTCCTTCGACATTGACCAATCGAGTCGAGATGATGGTTAAAAGCTAAAGCATACAATAAAGACAAAATAATGAAAACATTATCTAATGTGCAATTGTGTGTGAACATGCTTGAACCGACCAATTTATTAGTCGTTTCCGTCTATATTTCAGGCCTGAGTTTTTTACTGTGGTTCATACAGTGCGGGGAAACAAATTCAGTAAATCAAAAACAGTTTTTTTGTGGAAATACAGCGTGTCCAAAATTGGAGATATGATGTAATCGACCATTTTTTTAAATAGCAGAGTTGATTCGGTTGCTTTACATGCTAGTTTAGTGGAAAACAAACCTTTCTACGGCCAGTTTATGAGGAATATTTGAAAAGTTAATCATTCAACGATGGGAAAAATTAATCCACATCGGGAATTACCGAAAATATAAAAGGTTGCCCATAGTTTTATCAAAGTACCTATGCAATGATTGATTATACCTGCTAATTAATCATGATCTAAAATGATTTATCATGGGATTTTGAGAAAAAAAAACATCGAACACCAATGTACGTGGCTTATTTAAAGGATTGATCGGAATAAAAACCAAATTGCTGATTTGTATTACTCAAATTGAAATGTATTCAACATACTTATTTAAGTTAAAATTAAATTCACTTTATTGTGTCATGTTATGACTTTCTATGAAATTGAAACTTAGAACCCGTTCTATATTATACAGGGGTTCCATGCATATACCAGCAAACTTTTAGGGTTGGTAGAGGACATTAAAAGAACCTTTGTTGCCTTATAAAAAAAGCCCACAAACGCCGTTTTTGAGTCATATAGTCAAAATTCAGTCTTTTGTTGTTTATGAAATTAGAAAAAGTATCGTCAGTCGGCATAAAACCAGCCCAAGAAGGGGTCATCCCCATGATGACATGGTTGGTAATGACATTGGTATCGTTGGATAGAGAATTCAAAGTTCGAGTCATAACAACATGAGTGAGGAAATTCGAGTAGTTTTGGCCCAAAAAGCGAAATTTGACTATCACACACTGCAAGATTATGCCAAAATTTCATGTTTTCCGTCTCGTTTTTGCTCATTTCTCGGAAGCAAAATGAGCAAGAACGTTCATTTTTACATCATTCCAGAGAGAACTAAATGATCTTTTTAGAAAGTGAACGAACCATCGATAAGGAAATGTTGGCAGTTTTCTCAGAAAGAGTCTTGATTTCAAGAAGTGATTTGCGTGTTTTTTCCGAGTACGCAATCTGCAAAGAAACTAATCTTTCAAGCTTAAAGTATTATTATCTAATAAATAGAATTCAGATTCTCGTCCTATTCGGTCAAACATTTAATTGAATTATACAACAGTTGAAACTGAAAATACCGGGCCCAAAGTGTAAAGCCGCAGAAGATTTATGGGTATGGACGATGTGGAAAATAAACTTGTAAACTTACGTTCTCCGATCGTTCCGCTGAATAAATCAGAATACATCCGGTCTCATCTTACCGCTTGTTGTCATTTCATCATTTTTCTTTAAATGCAAATGCATCAAGCCCCAGTAATATTGCAATAGTCCGATATTATATATATTATTACTCCGAGCCTGCTGACTATTAAAACAAACATGCAAAAGACCAGTCGTCAGCTCTTACTAATGTGTTTAATGTTTCCTCAAGAAATTAGAACGCTGGCAGGCACGAAATTGCTTAAATGGAAATAAAAAGCCTGCATAAAAGATGTCTTGACAACAATATACAAATACTTCTAGTGTTTATGCTGTAGTAAAATAATAATTGTCGGCTTGTTTATAAGCGAATAGTGGGGGACACTGGAAATGGGTTACGTAAGTAATTCGGAAAGCTGAGGGAATTTTTCTGGTTGTCTTCAATTGAAATTGCGTAACGATTCGGTTACGTGACATTAAAAGAATTTTCCACATCGGACCAGACCTGTTGATGTAGGCGGTTTTTGTGCTCTTTGCTCAAGCTTGGAAAATCAATCGGATGTAGGACGAGTTGTTTAATAACGAGGTCAAGTCCTTCCTAGAATAAAAACAAGCCCTGGAATATTTTGGCAAGAGCGTACTTAAGACTAGCCGCTATAATTAGATCGCCAAGAACGTAAGAAGTAAGTATAAATACACATCGCTAAAACAGACCACGAAAATAACACCGTTATTATTAGAATCACAAAGCTACCTCCACTAGCTGAATTTTTGCCTACCTCTGCTTAAAAAAAGAAAGACACGGTTTGCCTCAAATTCGCGCACTATACTGGCATAGTTTTAACTCCGGCAAATGTATTTTCAGCAAGATCGTTCAATTTAAACATCGAGAACACAAGGAAGTGAACGATAAATACGTTGAATAATGCTTTCAAATATATCCTATTCATCCCGCATAAGAGATGACGGTTTTGGACTGGAACATGTCGATCTATAGACCTTCGATTTGATTAACCTGGTTTCGAAGGAACACATGAAATATTTACGAGCCTTTTGTTTTTACTCGGCTTGGTCAATATGTCTTTGTACATCTTGGCTTAAACCGATATGTGATTGGTCCGAATATTTATTCAACAGCAGATATTCGAACTGGGATTACTCAAATTGCAATCAATTATCTACGCGATAAACTATCAGCTAATGGAAAACTTAACTGGGCATCACAATTATTTTCTACTCGCGCTCTGCAATATTATTTCAGAAAAACGCAAAAAAATAGTTTTTGTGCAAAAAAACCTAGTCGTTCAAAAAACGTGCCAGAAAGTGAAAAAATTATCGAGAAAAAGTGAATAGGTGACACACACTTACATAACCAAAGTTAAAAACGCCTCCATAAAATTTACCAAAAATAAAATGTGCACAGAAAGTAAGAACAGAAACTGAACAAAAAACTTAAAAAGCTCCATATTCTAACAAGCGAATTTTCAATCATATTGGAGGTAAAAAATCAAGTACCAACATTTTCCACCTGAAACAAAGGAAAATTACCTAATTTTCTCTATATTTAACGCTTTGCGCAACAATGACGCAAACACGAAAAGGATTTGGAAGTTTGCGAGTACAATTGTACTCGTAATTCATAGCCGGTTCTTTTCGCATGAATCGCTAATTACCTACTATAGACGTTGTAGTAAGGAAGCCCTAAAAAAATCATTGTGCAATGACAATTTTCCAATAGAACAATTAGCCTGCTCATCAAATTTTACAATTTGCATCACAAAGTTTCCTTTTAGTTCATTAGCTGTGCTGGCATATTTGCCGCATAAACAGGATTTAAAATCGCCTGTCCGTAGGAAAACTTTAGGGAGATTTTCGGTACTTTTTAGTTATCCAAATTGGGTTGATTCGGGAAATTTTCTGGCACGAAAAACGGAATCATTTCTATAGAAAAGAGCGCATAAATTCGTGTGGATGACGTAGAAAGAAAGCGCTGAATGATGAGAATGATCAGTTTTGTTTAATCTACAGCGTGAATCAAAAGAATATTTTAGAATAAAGTGCGTAGATGATATAAATTGTTTCTCTGAATATCATCGTTTCAGACCTAATAAATGTTGCTTCCGCTTTTCTGTCATAATTTTTTACCCTCACATTCGATTAAAGGTGAAATTTGGAACAGAAACACTTGAAATAAATATTTAAAATTCAGCAAAAACTTCAGTTTACAAATCCTTGTGAGTTTCCATGGTATGTGGTAATGTTAAATGAAATTTACTTGAATAGGGCGCTACATTGGTACGAATTTCACTAAATAACTGAGAAACCAGATAAAATGTTGAAAAACCACGAGATAACGAGTGTCAAATTGAATTAAAGTGCTTTTTTGAAATACATTTTTGTTGAATTTTTGAAACAAAAAATGAGGCGACCGCACACAAAATACACTGAGACAACTAAGAAGGTTGGGTGAGTAAAACGGTGAAAAAAATGTGGAAATGTGAATGTGTGAGTATCGAGATTGAACTTTAATCCCTTGTATAAATATAAAAAAAATATAAAATTGTTACGAAAAGAGAAAATAATGCTAAACCTAGTACTTGTATAGTTGCGCAATTTTGTGCTTAAGAAAATTAATATTTGGGATATATTTTCGGTATTTTAATATCAAAATTGAAAATTCTTGAGAATTTTTGAGTAAAAAGGTACGCTTGTCTCGATTAGCTCGAGCTAGAAAGGACCGCATGCGAAACTAATCTATTTGAAATTTTAATTTTTTTTGATAATTGTCTTTAAAAAACGGATTTCATGGAAAATAGATGTAATTTTCTGCAACTGGTTGTTCGAATTCATTCGGCAAAATCCACATTTTTACACAAAATTGGTTGGAAATATGTAGCCAGTTTTACTCGGAAAACCCTAGAAGAACTCATGTTTTGTTCTTCCAGCATGAACGTGATTGAATTGTTTTTCACCGGCATGAATAAACTACGAATCGTTTTTAAACTTCCTGAAAACATTTTTTTAGCCGCCCTCCGAGACGCGCTTCAAATAGACGGTGTCTCAGCCTATTTTAAAAAATGTGTAAAAGAAGGAGATATTTATCCAGGCAAATAGATAGAGCGACTCTCAATACAGGAACACCATCTAATTGAGCAGAGAACAATTGCGTAACCACTTAAATCACCAGACCTGACGCCATCAGATTTTTAGATATGGAGCATCTAAAAACCATGGTGTATAAGAACTAAGAAATAATTACACGTGAAAACGTAACTGAGTGAATCGAAGAAGCCAGTCGTAGAATGATTCAAAAGAGCCACCAAGTAATGGCGGCGATAAGTTCGATTGCAAAAAGAACTCAAAAATATGTTGAAGTTCACCATTTTGAGAATTTTATCTAAGTAATCTGTATTTGTGTATTCTGATTTATTTTCCTCACAACCTTAAATTTGTCTGAATTATTTTCTACATTTGCGAGAGTGACATGCATGTATTGAGATAAGCAGAAATTTTAATTTTTCAAACCCTAATAAAGCCATAAGTATGGAACACCCAGTACACTAGTGAAAAATTAAAACTATTTCTGCTTATCTCAATACCTGCATACCACTCTCGCAAATGTAGAAAATTATTCAGACAAATTTAAGATTTCAAGAAGGCAAAGACCTAAAAGAACGTTGATTTTTTCCAATCATGAGGTAAGTTTTTCCAGTGTTGCTCTCCCAGAAGAAAGGATTTTTTTCCCTCAAAAACTGATGAATGTTTTAACACTTTGTAAATTATAGTTTTTATACAACATGTTTTAATTGTGAATTGGTGTTTGTAGTTTGTGTAAATTTTAAATCTGATGATGGCGCTGTTGTCTCACCGAAACGTAATGAAATAAACGATGTTTGTATTTGTGTATGTTTTATTGCTAACGCATGTCCATTTTTAATGTTCCCGATGCATTTTACTGACACTGATTTTGTGGTTTCAAATTCGAAAGCGTGCGGGCCGGATCCGAAACTAATTTTAATTTAATCAGAGTGCGATTTTTAAATCTCTTACTGTTGCACTGAAGAAATGTGATTCCCGACATAAAGGGAGGAAAATTAGGCAAACATCGTCAAAACCGTCGAACATATCATGGGAAAGTGCTCATTTTCCCATTTAAAGAAAATCGACATTCAAACCCCTGTTCGGTTAGAGTACGTTTTTGCGATTGATGAATTCAAACATTAGCCGATCCCATTTGTTTACATTTGAATCGATGGGCCCCGAACTTTGAGGCCGACCCTGCTAATCCACCTATTTCCTATGTTGACGTAGTAACTGGTGCTGGGCCCGCAAAACCACTTTGTAAATATTTTTGGCTCGTTGCCTAATACCCATAGTGTTCTTCCCACAACTTCTTACTTTAATAGCAGCGACGATCTTTCGCATTTCTTTCGACAAATTTAAATATCCTAACGACCTTCCACGTGCACCAGCAGCGAGATGCAGTTTGTTTTGCTTCTTGTCCACAAAGCGCACATTTCAGCTGGAAAAACTTGACCTATTTGGCTTCAATCGGGCTGCTAGTTCTTTATTAGGCGCATCATTGCGTTAAAACTGATTGAAAATCGTATCAACTTAAGCTGGGAGTTTTGGCTCTGTAATCGGACGAAGGCCATTTGAATCAGGAGCGTTTGATTGGCATTAATGAGAGTGGATGGATCATGTATTAATTAGATTAGTGTGTGGGTTTTTACCTGCGTCGGGTCCTGGTTGGATGCGGCCGCTTCTTCGGCTGCCGTGGTATCACTAGCGCCGACCTTGTTCCTGCGACGCCCAACACCAAGTCCAGCAGCTTGACCGACAGGTGGAACGTGATGGTTCATTTCGTGGACCGTGAGGCTCTGCTTGATGTCAGCAGTGAAGTTGCAAGCGGAGCAACGGAAAGCGCCCTTCCCGTTGTGGTTCTTGCAGTGCCTGTCCAGGTTCCACTTGTACGGAGTCCGGAAATCGCACATATCACACTTGATCATCGGCATCGAATGGTACTTAACGTGCTTCGTGTACCTGGCCTTGATATGCGTAACGTAAGTGCACTTCGAACACCGGAAGAATTTCGTTTTGATGTGTTCCTCGCGTTCGTGCTTGTTCAATTGGACGCGATTACGGCTCGAAAAATCGCACACCGAACATTTGAACAACACTGGCCGATCCGGATCTTCCGCAAGCATCTCGTCGAAACCGACGTCTTCGTCGAGATGCTCTTGGGAGAGTTGCTGCGACTCTTCGCTCTCATCAGCCACGTCGGCTGCGGAGCGTCTGCGCGACTTCCTGGACGTGTCCGCTGCATTAACTCCCTCGCTCGTGCCGTGCACCATTTTCGAATGTCTAAGAAGTTTTTGAAAGTGCTTGGAGGCGTACAAGCAGCTGGGACACTCGTACACTTTTATCCGCTGATTGTGAACATCCCGCAGGTGATAGAGATAGAGGCGGGGGTTCTGCGTGAAGAAGTCGCAGCACGGGCACGTGTAGTTGCGTCTCACCTTACAGTCGGGCAATTCTTTGCTTGGCGGCTCCTCGTCGTTGATGTTGATGCTGCCAATAATTCTAGTTGTCGTCTCGTTGCCAGCGGTCCGCTGCTGGTTGGCGTCTTCGTCGTCGACGTCGTGGACGCCGTCGGCCACTTTGTGTAAAGCGTCGCCGCTCGCAACGTTGCGCACTGCTAAACTGCCACCGCCTGATCGATGTACCATCGAAGGCACTGACATACTAACTTAAACACCTGAAAGAAAAACAACCTTGGTCAATAATTAATTCATCTTTTAATGCAGATCTTGGCTAAGTCCTCGCAATGTCATTGCGAATGCTTCATCTTTTGCACTTGATTTGTTTTCCTTAATTAAACACCGCACCGCGCACAATACGAATTTCTATTATTTCTTGATACCAATTATACTGAGTGGTTCGAAATTCACTTCATTCCTTCAAGGGAATCACAATGAATGTAACAGTCAAAGGCCCTCTTCAGGTCTTCACTAACATTTTCCAAACTGTACAGCGTGACCATTTATTGAAGATGATATGCGGTTTTCGCAAAACTACGACCTCTTTTGGTCAAATGAAAGATTAGTTCCTGGAAAGTCTCCACTTTTCGAAACCATTTGTATCTCAAAAATGAAACAAAATGATGAGATGATAGTTTTAAAACAAATAATACCGGTTAAGTGTAAATTGCATTTACCAGTAATGGATTCCTCTAGCTTTTCCCCTCAAATAAACCCCATGATTTGCACTAATTCTACAGTAGAAAATTTCATTCTTGTGCGAACAAATACTTGTACAATTTCACTAAGGTCGCCTTTATTTCTTAAACTATCTTGCATGGGTATAGAACATGTTACTATCAAAAGACTCAGAATAAGATGCCAAATATTATAATTGGTTTTTAATAAAAAAGTACCTGAGTATTTCATAAAACTTTCAAGTAAGCAGATACAAGCCCATTTCTTCCTCCAACAGTCGATGAAAAAAGCAAATTGTTATCTTTTACCGTTTCTGAGGAATGGCTTTTCAAAATACTCTTTGGGAGGAAGCAGATATCATCAGTCAAAAAGCAATGATGAATTTAATGCTGAATTCAGAAATGAAGCGAAAATATTGGTGTACTATTTCAAAAACCGAATTTGATGTCGGTAGTAAGGCTTTTATGAAACACTCTGTATACTAGAAAATGAATTTTGCATATGCAGATCACAAAATTGTAAAATCACGGTATTTTTTTTGTCTATCTACAGATGTTTAGACGCAATCGAACTTCTTCATACAAATCCTGCCTGGTTAAATGAACAAACGTGCATCTACCTAGATATTTTCTAACAACCAGAAAGATAACCCATAGCATAACAAAAACTTGAATTTGATGGGTAGCTTTTGAGTTGTAATCCTATAAACGCCGAAAATGTATAACAATGTCGCATATGGATAAAATCGCCGTTATACATACAGGGACTCTAAATCAGTGTTATCTTCTACACAATACTCGTAACTAAAATAAT